ACATACATGATGAATTTAGTCTTTGGCCTTCATAATTTGCCAAAACACAACAAGCTGTGATTCCTGAGCCTCGGGAGACAGAATCCCTCTTGAATGTTGCAATAAAATTATTCCAGGAAAAAGAGATGGAGCAGCAATAGTTTTAAGGTGGCTGATATGTAAAAAAAAAAATGTATGTATGTATATACTGGGCAGGAACATGATCCATGTTTAATGAATACATTTACTCAGAATACCTTTCTGTGAGCCCTATACGATGAAATAACGCCACTTCAAAAAGTTTGCTTTCGTGATTAACCACTGTATCCAAAAGAAGAGACATGACTCAGCTGATGACTTGACATTTGGACAAACCTAGTCGGTGTAACGTGGTTGATATTTCTGCATATGTTTGAATGTTTTAGAACCATTCTATCGCTGTATCTGCAAAGTCTTCCAACGCACCCATCATTTAGTTCATCTCCACCGCTACTCCACTGTTTACCTGCGGGGTGCGCACTTGCGAATCACTTCCGGGGGATTCTTGTGTTTCAAATGGAAATCGCAAAAAGTAATTTAGACGATCATTATTGGTTTACTGCATTTTCGTTTTAATTAGATCCACAGAAAACCAAAAACAAACCGATATTTCAATTTTGCATTAAATTCAAATATTGAGAATCAAAAACATCCCTCGTTATTCGTTTTTTCAATGTTGGTTTTATTTAGAAAATCAAAAGAACGAATGATACACGGATTGATGTAAGCTAGCGCTACGTATATTCACACAGGTTTGATTTCTTCTTTGATCATTTTTCGCTTTCGTTCCCTCTTCTCACACAGCCATTCGGTTCAACATTTCAGATATTGCCAATGCGTATTTATGGACGATACTTTTTTTTTTAAGGCAGAAAAATGCTCTGAGTGTTATGTAATGGTGAAGCAATTTCATCTCTATAACAGGACTGAGACAGGAGCTAAGGGACAGATGGGGCAAAGGTACATGTTTGTACCAGAAGATCTACAAACAACTTTAGTTTTTGATGAGGGAACACTTGTAAATTGATAAAGATCAAAAAGGTCACTGCATATTTGCATTTTATGTCTCTGTTGATGGTTGCTGGGCACTGTCTATGTGTTGAACAATCTCAACAACCAAAGGAGTCAAGATGACAACATACTGTATTAAACACAGCATGCATTCAAGCTCCAAGACAGAATAGAAACATTGAATCTCAGGGAACAACAGATCTATTTCTCTATCCAGGTAATAGTTTTGTTGCATAAATAAACCCAAACCAGGCTCAGGCTAAGAATCTCTCCTCTATGTTTGTAAAAATTGCTCAAATAAATAATAATTATCATATGAATGGCTCTGAATTTATTTGATTTTGTATCATTGTTGATTTTATCTTCTGTCGTTCTGCCCTTGTTGCTCTACCACTGCGGTCATCATGATACACAGTTCATTCAGGACATATAGGCCA